CTCTCTCTGCCGGCTCTCCGTCGGCTCCCCCCCGGCGGAGGCGGCCTCGCCTTGCTCCCGCGGGCCTCCGCCGCCCCTCTGCCGCCGTCCGCCGCGGAAGGTCCGGCGCAGCCCCTCTCGTCCTCGAACCGACCAGCCAGAAGTGGGGGAGCTGCGGTCCTTACCCCCCCCTGGGGGAACCCATCGCATCGACGATCTCTCGAGAGGGCTCTCGAAATCGATGGGTCCCCCGGGGGGGTAAGGACCACAGCTCCCCCAGTCGTGGCTGGCACTGTCGAAAGCGAGGGCAGTCTCTGGAACGCCCCCTCTGGGAATTGGGAGCCCTTGCCCTAAAAATGACAACTGCGCCCTGCCTGCACCACGAAGAAATCTGTCAGAACTGGGGCAACTCACATGCCGGTCGCCCCCGGATGACTGGAAGACCCAGCGCTCCCTTGGAAACCGCGGGACGTGGATCTTAGCCGATGGGGCTACGGCAGTGGGCGCTGGAACTGAAGAACCGGCACTAAGTTCGAAGACTAAACCCGAATGCGCCCGCCCTTGCCATCCAGCGATTTCCATTTTTCGGACACCCTGCATCTAGCAGCACACGTGATATCACCAAGAAAAAACCTCCCTCGGACAAGACAACTTCCTCCCTGAACCAAAACAATTTCCCCGTTCGACCGGAAACAAATCCAAAAACTCCCGAAGAATTACCCCGTTCGCTCGGAAAAAAATCCGCGTTCGACCGAAGGCAATGACCCTGTGCGGGACCGAACTTCCCAGTTCGGGGCTGGATTGCATCGTTTGCCTTTTCACCCCATGGGGGGGGTGCAACGAAAGGCCCGACGACGACGACGACGACGACGACACTGACGACGACGACGAATGACGAAAAACGCCGCCGACGACGACGACGACGACGACGACGACGAAAACGACGACGACAACGCCCCATGGGGGGGGCGCGCAGGGCCTGGCGACGATGACGACGACGACGAACGACGACGACAACGACGGCGGCGACGACGACGACCCACCGACGAAACTGTGGATGCCGCAGTGGGGTGGGCCGATTAGCGAGACGGCGGGCGCGGGAGCAAGATGCTCATCGCAAATCGCCTTCCGCATTTTGTTGGGCAGCAGAGGGGGGTGTCGAAAAGAACGCCGCCCGGCAGCGCCAGAACGCACTCCGCAAGCTCTTGGCCCCGCGGAAGGTGGGTTGGCGACGAAAAGTGGGATGGGAAGTTCCCACGCGAGGCGCGCCAGCCCCAGGGCGGGCGGGCAGAGAGAGCCGGCGGATTTTCCACGCGGGTTCGCCGGGGGGGGGGAGAGAGAGAGGACGCGAAGCCGCCCGCCCCCCTTATAGAGAAAGAGAAAGAAAGAGAGAAAGAGAGAAAGAGAGAGAGAGAGAGGAAAGAAAGATAGAGAGAGAGAGAGAGAAACAAAAAAAAGGAAAAACAACAATAGAGGAAGAGAGAGAGAGAGAAGAGGAAGAGAGAGAGAGAGAGAGACAGAGAGAGGGAGAGAGAGAAAGAGAAAGAAAGAGGGAGAGAGAGAGAGAGAGAGAAAGAGAGAGAAAAGAGAGAGAGAGAGACAGACATAGATAGATAGAGAGAGAGAGAGAGAGAGCATTGAAAAGGAGCGCGCGCACGCATCCCGCCCCCCCAACTGCATCGTTGGGGGCGGGATGCGTTGGCGCGCACTCGCGATGCTCGCGCCCCACCCCCCGCCGTGCCTCGGCCGCGCCCGAGAGTGGACTCCCTCCTCGCCTCCCTCCCCGCGCCGCCCCGTTAAGAAGGGGGAGCGTGACATGCGCCGCGCTTCCCTGCGGACGCATCGACCCGTAGGGTAAGGGTAAGGGATAATGATGCAAGGGCCTTGGACGCCCACGTCGAAGCTTCTCGAGCGGGGCGCGGCCGACGGAAGGGGCCAAAGATGGGCCGAGGAGGCAAGGACGCAAGGGTACCCTTGGCAAGGTTGCCTGTCCTTGCGATGCGGGTTGACTGCACCCCCACCAGGCATTGGTCCTCCTGAATTTCTGGGAGGTGGGGGGTAGGGGTTCGGTCTTCGCCACGTGCTCGACGCATTCCGAACCCTGCCCACCGCCGCCCATCGAGCTGCCCGAACCGCTGATCGGCGAGAACGGAGCTCGGATTAGGTCGGGCATGTCCTCCTACAGGCGGATCTTGGACGAAGAATAAAGCACAGTCAAACAAAAGCAAAGATGCATAACAATGATCAGGGAATCGTCCCCGTACTATTTCTTCTTCTATGTTTGAGCACGCCTCCTGGGCAGGGACGTGCCCGACTCGAGGCTCGGCTTTCGCCGCCCACCAGTGCGGCCCGACGGGGGCCCATCAGCCTCGAGGCCAAGGGCGAGGGGGCGCACGCGAGGGGCAACGAGAGGGGGGCGGGCGGTGGGCTTGTTTCCACCGCCACCACCCTGAGCAGAGGGGGAGGGGGTCCTCCTCCTCCTCCTCCTCCTCCTCCTCCTCCTCCTCCTCCTCATGTCCTCCTCCTCCTCCTCCTCCTCCTCTTCCTCCTCTTCCTCCTCTTCCTCCTCCTCATCCTCCACCTCCCTCCCCCCTCCAGCGTGTGGTCGTGGTGGTGTGAAACCAGGCCCATCAAGGGGGGACCGGCACTGGGGAGGGAGGGGGGGACGCGGCGACCCGGAAGCAGCGGCGAATTCGTCGCCGGTGCGGATCTGGCCATCGCTCGGACGTCCATTCCCTGTGCTTTTTGCGGTTTCGTGCGTGGTTTTGTCGCCAAGTGATCAACGATGCTCCTCGATGGTCCTCGCCGAAGGAAAAATGCACACGTCCGAGCGATGCCAAGGGATCGGCGAGAGGACCCCGATGGGGGGATCCGCACGCTCCTGCGGGCGGGGTTAGGGCTGTCGAGCTCCATTTCGGCGACGAGTGGACGATCGGGGGCCGACGGGAAGCAGTCCACGAGGGAGCCCAGCCCGGAGGCCCCAGCACGTCCACGCGAAGTCTTGGCGTGGGGGTGTCGCGTGCTCCCGTGGCAGAGCCGGCGGAGCCCCGAACAAAGACCCAGGGCACCCTGGAAGCAAGCAGGGTGCTTCTCGGCATGGGTCTCCACTGCACCCCCCCTGTCGCTGTCTCGGAGAGCGAGAGGGGGGAGGGAGGACAGGGAGCCCACAGGGGACGCGCCGAGCAGGGTGTTTCTTGGCATGGGTCTTCACTGCACCTCCCCTGTCGCTGTCTCGGAGAGCGAGAGGGGGGAGGGAGGACATGGAGCCCACAGGGGACGCGCGCGCCCAACCACGTGCACGAACACGGCCCCCCAGTCCGCGAGAACAGCCTCGCGACACGAACGCTCGTGCAGCGGGCCCTGTCGAAACCAGCGTGGATTATCATGCACGTGTCGGAATAGGACCCAGGACATAATCACCTAAATCACTGATAGCATCGACCTTTTCACGTGATTTGCCTGATAATCACAGCCCTATACATCACTAGCTGCTCTCTCCTGGTGTCACTTTAAAATCAGCGTATCCACCGATCGTGCGGTCGGACCTGGGGCAGAAGAGCACCCTTTCAGAACATGAGACCCTCCGCCGGACAAAACACCCCAAACCATAAGATCACTCGAGGGTAGGTACTCCAGATTTCGTAATAAAAGGGAGGGGGGTCTCATTTCGGGGGGGGGTCTCTTCCAGGCTAGCTTGGAGGGCCTGGGGGGTCTGGGGACGATGTTTTGGAGGGTTCTCCCACGGGGGAGGTCTGAAATGGCTTGTCTTGGAGGATCCAGACCCCCTCCCTTTTATTACGAAATCTGGAGTACCCTCCCTCAGGATGCACAAGCACATGCAACAGGCACGGAGAACAGCAGGGTAAGTTACCCTCCCCGAGCCGATCTCGATGTTGTGCCTCGGTCCGGCCGCATCCCAAGGAGGCATTCGGGAACGAGTCCAGCCGAACAGTCGCATTTCCTTGTTCCAGGCGCCGCCTCTTGAGCAGGGACCGACTGTCCCGGCATTCCTTATGGCCTACCACGAAGGGTTTTAGAACCTTCCAAATGCCCTGATAACAAAAACAACGTTCTTAGAACATAAGCCTGATGCGTTTAAACAAAACAGTCTCAGCCAGAATTGGTCTGGTGGGCCTTTTGGCAAGCCAAGATGTTTCGCCACTGTTCGAATATAGAAAGGAACAACACTCCGTGAGAACATGACCCTCCACCGGCCAAAACAAGCAGAACATCCAAGGGCACCCTCCCCAGGATGCACAAGAAGGTCCAACAAAAAAGAAGAACATGACCTCCCCGAACCGACCTCGATCTCATACCTCGGTCCGACTGTCACTGAAGAAGAAGAAGGACAGCGCTGCCCCTTTCGGGCCCTGGAAGCCCCCCTCTGAGCGGCCCCAAGGGCTCTCCTCTTTGGGGGGCCCTGAGGGGCCCCGTCTCTGCAGCCCCCGCTGCCTCCCCACTTGTCGCTCCCCCCTCTCATGCGGCGCCCAAGCAGGCTCGGGAACGGACCCGGCCGGAGACTCACGCTTGCTGTTCCCAGGCGCCGCCTCGAGCGACTTTCCTCCCGACCTCACCTCCGCCCCTGCCCTGCCGTCGGGCGGACTTGACTGCAGAGGACACACGCAGGAGGACACACAAAGCCCGTCCCCGAGGGCCACACTGCCGCAGGAATGCAGGAAGGCATGGGCCGCGAGGCACAGGACACAGAGGGCACCCTTGCTCTGGCAGGGTCGACGTGCCAATCATCGGGCGCGGCCAAGAGGGGGGTGTCCAAGAGGGGGGGTGCAAATCATGACCGGCGGCACGTGCGCGGCCCAGCGGGGGGGCCAGGGACGTAATGAAATGAGAAGGGGCGCCATGAAATCTGGGGAGATATCATGGCCCACGCCAGGATACCCCCCCCCCCTAGTCATCAACCCCCTCTTTTCCGCCCCCGAAATCAGGGCCGACGGTATCTTTTACGCCCCCCCCGGAGGAGACGAGGGGGGGGGGGGGCGGCGGCCGCCGCGCGCGCGCGCGTCCTCGTCCGGCGGAGGGCCTGGGCGCCCACGCGCGCCGGGTGGAGGATGCGGGGGCGGGAGGAGGAGGAGGAGGAGGAGGAGGAGGAGGAGGAGGAGGACGACGACGAGGACGAGGAGGTGGAGGAGGAGGAATTGGACGAGGAGGAGGAGCATGATGATGACGATGAGGAGGAGGAGGAGGAGGAAGAGGAGGAGGAGGAGGAGGAGGAGGATGAGGAGGAGTGGGGGCACCAGGAGAGGAGTGGGAGGAGGAGAAGGAGGGCCTGAGTAAAGTCAAGATGCGCAAAAGATGATGTATAAACGAGCGGAAGAAGGATGAGGATGCATATGATGAAGAAGATGATGATGATGACGATGATAATAATAATAATACTAATAACAATACTTGTAATAATAATACTAATAGTAATAATAACAACAACAACAATAGTAATAACAATAATGACAACAACAACAATAATACTAACAATAATAATAATACTAATACTACTAATAATAATAATAATATTAATAATACTAATAATAATAGGGGTAGTAACAGTAAACGGAGGAGGAAGAGGAGGGGGTGGTGGACAAGAGGAAACTATAGTTGCACAAGCGACGCTGCAATACACCGTCTGGCCCCAGGTCCCCTCCTCACTGTTCCGTCGCGGCGCGGCAGAGACAATCCGCGCGCGCGTCCGAGCGAAACCGAGGCGCGGAAGCGCGAATTCGCCCGCGTGCAAAAAAGGGGGGCGGAGACGGGGAGGCGGCCGCAGAAAGAGGGCCAGGTGCGGGGGCGCACTCACGCAACGGGGATGCGGCGGGTGCGTGGGCGCGGCCTGGCTGAGGGCCCAACCTGGCAGCAGCTGCGGGTCGGCGTCGCAGTGCGCCCAGGGTGGGGGGCCAGCAGCCACAGTGCGGGCGAGGCCCAGCAAGTCGGAGAGTGGGATCGGCGGCGGCCCTCCTCCTCCTCCTCCTTCTCCTCCTCCTCCTCCTCCTCCTCCTCCTCCTCCTCCTCCTGCTCATCCTCCTCCTCCCCCTCCGCGCACGGCGCGCCTGCCAGGCTGTCCGTGTTGACCCTGCCGAACGGCGACTCGGCCTTGCGGCACGCGCCCGCGCCCTCCTCCTCCTCCTCCTCCTCCTCCTCCTCCTCCTCCTCCTCCTCCTCCTCCTCCTCGGCTCCTCTCGCAACGCCTCGCCGCGTGGCGCTGTGGTGACCCTTCACTGTTCGGCGGCGAGCCCATGAGGAGGATGAGAGGAGGAGGAGGAGGAGGAGGAGGAGGAGGAGGAGGAGGAGAAGGGGAAGAGGAGGAGGGAAGAGGAGGAGGAGGAGGAGGAGGAGGAGGACGAGGGAGGATCAGGAGGAGGAAGCGGAGGAGGAGGAAGAGGAGGAGGAGGAGGAGGAGGAGGAGGAGGAAGAGGAGGAGACGGCTCTTTGAGGACGAAAGTCTCCGCCTGATCTTGCTGAGGGCTTCGAAGGGTCGCCCTGTTTTGCTCAGGGCGACCCTTCACTATTCGGCGGCGAGACAGGGGGGAAACAAGAAGGATAATGCCTTCTGAGAAGGCGGCGGGGCTTCTCAGACGCCCCCGCGCCTCCCGAAAAGTGTTGATTGCGTCCTCGGGGAAGGCTTCGAAAACTTCTCAGAAGGCCTCTGGACTTCCGAACCTTCTGAGAATGCCTTCTCCTTCTCACTTCCCCCCGGGCTCGCAACCGAACTACGGCTGTTACGGCTGCGGCTACGGCTCCGCGCGCGTGGCGCCACAAAGGCGCAACGGAGGGGGCGCCTGCTGAAGCGTGCGCGTGTGAAACACTGCCTGGGAGGAGGAGGAGGAGGAGGAGGAGGAGGAGGAGGAGGAGGAGGAGGAGGAGGACGAGGAGGGACGGCGGCAACATCACTGCTGAAGGCACGTGCCCTGGAAGTCGTCCCACGCCGGTGCTGTAGCGACCCTTCACCAGGTCACCTAACTTCGCGCATCGCGCCCCGCGCTACGCGACGCGACGCGCGGTTGTATTCGCGCCCTCGCGCCCTCGCGCCAGGCAGCCGCTCGGGCCCGGGCCGCGACGCGCGACGCGCGAGTCTCCTCGCGGCCGTGAGGGTGACCTGGCTTCAGATCCGGGCGCCGTGCTGCCAAGATCTCGGGTGCACCGAGGAGGAGGAGGAGGAGGAGGAGGAGGAGGAGGAGGAGGAGGAGGAGGAAGAGGAGTAGGAGGAGGAGGAAGAGGAGGAGAGCGAGGAGAAGAGCGAGGAGGAGAGCGAGGAGGAGGAGGAGGAGGTTCCAGCCGCGGCGACGAAGACGCGCCTGGAGGCTCAAACAAAAAACAGCCGGAAGTGCGCCCCGAGGAGAATCCAGCCGCGGCGACGAGGCCGCTCCAGGAGCCTCTCGACGAAGGCCCCGGACGCCCGAATGCGAACCTGTGGGATAACCTGTGGGATATATCGATGTCCACCGCCAGGAGAGCCGACGTCCTGGGACCCCAACGGGGGGGGTACATGGAAATAGTTCGGCCCCAGGGACCCCGACTATACATATATATATATATATATATATATATATATATATATATATATACATACATACATACATACATACATACATACATACATATATACATACATACATACATACATACATACATACATACATACGTAATACATACATACATACATACATACACACATATAATCATACAAATATGTATGCATACATACATGCACTCATACGCACCTACATACAAGCATACACACCTACACATATCCACACATTACATACACTACATACAATACATGTATTCATACATACATACATACATACATACATACGAACGTACATACATACATACATGCATACATACATCCATACATACACATGCATGCATGCATACATGCATACATGCATACACGCAAACATGTACATACAGACACACAAGCATACATGCATGCATTCATACATATATGCATGCATGCATACGTATAGACATGCATGCACACATACGTACATGCATACACGCATCCCCACCTACATACTTACGTGCACGCATGCATACATGCATACACACATTCCATACATTCGATGTATACAAACATACATATATGCATACACACATACAAGCACACACACATACACACATGCATACAATCGTGCATGCCCACCTGTACGCATACACAAACACATGTATACATGCATGTTTGCATACGCACCCACGTACACACCTACATGTACACATACACTCATACATACCCGCATACACAACACATGCGTTTGTACATACATATATGCATACATATAAATATATATATATATACATACATAGATACGCACATACATACATACATCCATACATACATATATACATACATACATGCATACATGCATGCATACAGACAGACAGACCTACATGCATACATACAAACATACATACATACATAGATGCACACATACATACAGACATACATACATACATACATACACATATACATACATACATGCATGCACACATACATACATACATACATACATACATACATGCATACATACATACATACATACATTCATCCATCCATACATACATGCACACATACATACAAACATACACACACATACATACACACATGCATGCATGCATTCCTGCATACATACATGCATGCACAAACACGTACGTATGTACGTACATACGTACATACGTACATACGTACGTACATGTATACATACACTCATGCTTACATACAACCATACAGACAGACAGACAGACAGACAGACAGACAGACAGACAGACAGACAGACAGACAGACAGACAGGCAATGTACGCATGCATGCATATATACGTACACACATACATGCATACATACATACATGCATGCATGCATGCATGCAATCATGCACGCATGCATACATACATGCCCTTCTACCTACCAACCTATCTGCCTGCCTGCCTACAGACCTACATGCGTACAAACCATATAAACATACATACAAGCATACATACATACGTACTAACAGACATGCATACACATATACATAGTTACACACATACAAGTTGCATCTAAACAGCCTGCCGAGGTCCCCGAAGATCGATCCCCCAGGCGGCTCCTTGGCCCAACACCCTGAAGTCCGAGCCACGAAATTTCCCCAAGGACCCGTGCTGCATCTTCGGGGGACCCTGTCTGTCCCGTCGCGCCACGAGACGCGCCGAGTCGGTGTCGCACCCGTCTCGAGCGCGCCGAGTCCGCGTCGAGCCCGCGCCGTACCCGCGTCGATGGCACGCCGAATCTGCGCCGATCACGCGTCGGAGGTTGGAGAATAAGAGAGCAAGCTGCATGGCGGACGGGACGAGGTCACCCCCCCGAGGGTGCAGCGCAGGGCTCTGCCAGCTCCTCCTCCTCCTCCTCCTCCTCCTCCTCCTCCCCATCCTCCTCCTCCTCCTCCTCCTCCTCCTCCTCCTCCTTCTCCTCCTCCTCCTCATGTGTTCCCAGGAAGGTTTCAACGACAGCTGTGGGAACACATGGTCCGATAGCTCTAGCCCAACTTTCGGCCACATAGGCGCTTCAGGCAGGGGTCGGCGGTGATTCGCCGTAGGCGTCTTCGCTGGAGTGCTGCACATTGATTGCACAACATTTTGCTCGAAACACTCCGTTCGGGGCCCATGATGGTTAACATGTTTTTCCGAGTATCCAAACTGACGATGTCGCGAGGAGGAGGAGGAGGAGGACGAGGAGGAGGAGGAGGAGGAGGAGGAGGAGGAGGAGGAGGAGGAGGAGGAGGAGGAGGACAGGGAGGAGGAGGAGGGAGGGGAGGAGGGAGGTGGAGGGAGGAGGGCGAGGAGGAGGAGGAGGAGCAAGAGGAGGAGGAGGAGGAGGAGGAGGAGGAGGAGGAGGAGGAGGAGGAGGAGGAGAGGAGGGAGGAGAGGGAGGAGGAGGAGGAGGGAGGAGGAGGGAGGTGGAGGGAGGAGGGGCAGGAGGAGGAGGAGGAAGAGGAGGAGGAGGAGGAGGAGAAGGAGGAGGAGGAGGAGGAGGTACCCGCGCCTCGATCAATGCTCGAGGCTCGCTGCTCGGCCCTCCCATCCGGGGTCCTTTCCTGGGCCCCGCCGCCCGCACCTCGGCTGCTGCTCGACACACGGAGCCTCGACCGTCGACCGGCCAACCTGTTTGAAGGGGCCCTGGGACACGCGAATAAATGGACACAGATCACAAGATTCCCCACGGTTTCCCATCCTTTCTGGGTTTTGTCCTCCCCCCCCACTTCCAAGATGTTCCCACACGCTCTGGGGACTCGGCGATCAATTGTGTCTGTGTTGTCCTGAAACCTTTTTCTCCTGCGGGGAGCAAAGCAGGTGGCGCAAGGGGTTGGGCATTCCAGGAGGAGCTCGACCACAAGAAGCCGGGCCGTCCGTTTATTTCGTTGGTGTCGGTGTGGGAACGTCACGCTGTCCATGGCAAGACCATCGAGACCCAATACACCCAGGGCACCCTGGAGGCAAGCAGGGCGCTTCTTGGCTTGGGCTTCCACTGTGCGCGCGTTCGCTCTGGAGCGGTCGGAGCCCCTGGAGTTGTGGATGCCATGGCAATGGACACCCAAGCAATCCGATCATTGGAATGAACATGTGATTAAAACGCTTGAAACACGTTCTAAGCATGTTGAAGACATGCTACATTATCAAGACATGTTTAAAAACATGTTTTTGACATCTGGAAATTATGTGGCAACATGTTTCCTCTCCATTGTAGGGAACCCGACGCATTTTGCTGGCCCTGCACTGCAATTTGCATAGGAAAACGGATCCTGGTGTACACGGGATCCTGGTGTATGTGTTTTCCGTTGTTTTCCCACGGAACGGGCCAAAAACTATACACCACACCACCCCGACGTCGTCCCCGACCCTCACAGAGTCCTGGGAGTGAGCCCAGCCCGGCACTGGCAATGCACACGTTCCAGTTTCCGAGGCTGGTCGTCCTCCACAGCTGGCCCTGGGAATGAAAACCACCCGCCGCTGGCAAGGCATACGCTCCAGCTTCCGACGCCGGCCGTCCTCCAGAGCCCCAGACACTCCTCGATTCCTGCGGAGCGCCAGGGGGACGCCGCGCCGACGATGGCCGGCCAAAAAAGGCAGCGGGCCCAGGGGGCGCTGGGCCCCTGGGGCGGTACGCCTGCAGCAGGAGCTCGACCACAAGAAACCTTCCACAGGAAGCCCAACCTGAGGGGCCTGTTCTCCACCACCAGCACCACCATAAGTTGGAGGGGGAGGGGTTCCTCCTCCTCCTCCTCCTCCTCCTTCTCCTCTTCGTCCTCCTCCTCCTCGCCCTCCTCCTCCTCCTTCTTCCCTCCAACTTATAGTGGTGGTGGTGGAAAACACGCCCATCACAGCCCCGAGGCCCCAGGATGCCCGTCGATGCCTCGTGGGGGGGGGGGACCTCACGCTCTGCATCGCAGGACCATCGAAGCCCAGGAAACCCAGGGCACCCTGGAAGCAAGCAGGGCGTCTCTTGGCATGGGCTTTCACTGTACGGGGTGAAGTTGAGCCCCGTCCGGGGATCCAAAGTCCCTCCGCTCATTTGAAGGGCCCTGGGAAGCACAAATGAATAGACACAAATAACAGAATTCCCTATATTTTCCTACATCTTCTGGGCTTCTGTCTTCCCCCCTTCCACAGGAAACCCAACCCCGAGGCCCCAGGATGGCCCTTGATGCTTCGCGGGGGGACCTCACGCTCTGCATCGCAGAACCATCATAAAGCCCAGGAAACCCAAGGCACCCTGGAGGCAAGCAGGGCGCCTCTTGGCATGGGCTTCCACTGCACGGGTCGGCGACGCCAAAGGGTGCGGCTTGCGCAAAGGGCGTGGTTTGCAACCGGCACTCTGGGGAACATCCTGGGGGGCACCTTGGGGGGCGCGCGGGGACCTCGATAGAGCTCTCCCGCGCCCCGAGGCGGCCCGCCGAGGACAGCGTCGTACCCCCAAGGCCCCAGGGGTGCAGATTGCGGACCACACCCCTGCGTGACCATACCCTTTGTAGTCGCCGAGCGTCGGGAGCGGCAAAGAGGGGGGTGTCCAAGAGGGGCGGGTGCAAATCATGACCGGCGGCATGTGCGCGGCCCAGCGTGGGGACCAGGGACGTAATGGAATAAGAAGAGGCGCCATGAAATCTGGGGAAATATCATGACCCCGCCATGATATCCACCCCCCCTGGTCATCACCCCCCTCTTTGCCGACCCCGAGAGCGGGGTGAAGCTGAACCCCGTCCGGGGATCCCCCTCCCTCCGCCCACTACGCAACGCAGAGAGCATGCGAAGGCCCCCGTTGGCTGCCCGCCCCCTCTGCCGCAATTCCTGGCCCGGGGCCCTCCCGGCTGCCTCCGCGCGGCCAGCGCTCGGGAGGAGGCGGAGGGGCGTCTGCCTCCTGCCGCAGGCCAAAGGGGGCTTTTGGGGAGGGGGCTTTCCAGGAGGGGTCCCCCTGGGGCTTCGCACCCCCCACTCTGGCGAGGCTCCGCCGAGGCCCCTATGGGGGGGCTCTCTGGAGACCCCCCCCCCATCCCCCCCAACAAAAACCCTTGGGGACCCCCCCCCGGTCCTGCGCCGAGACCGATCCTCGACCCTGGACCCTCGACCCTCGATCCTCGACCCTCCGCCCGCGGCTCCTCGACCCTCGATCCTCCGCCCTCGACCCTCCGCCCTCGGCTCCTCGACCCTCGGCCCCTCGACCCTCCGCCCTCGACCCTCCGCCCCCGATCCTCCGCCCTCGGCCTCTGGACGCCCGAGGCGGGCCCGGAGGAAACGGATGCGATTGGAGGGGGCCCCAGGACACACAAATAAATACACACAAACAAAAAGATTCCCCATGTTTTCCTATATTTTCTGGGGTGTTGTCTTCCCCCCCCACTTCCCATATTTTCCCTTTTTTTCTGGGGAATCGACGATTAATTGTGTCTGTGTGTTTCTTTCCCTCCTGAGCGATGCCCAGCAGCACGCCTGGTCCAGAGCCCGGAGCCGAGAGAGCGGCCGCTGCTGGGCGGGCGGCCTCTGTCGTCTCAAGCGGGCAGCGCCCGCGGCGGCACCGGCAGCACGGGCACCCGACTTCGCGCGTCGCGCTGCGCGGAGGACTTCGCGCCCTCTCGCCGCCCCGCCAGGGGAGGAGAGGAGGATGAGGAATACCGTCGGGGCGTTGACCTGAGGAACCCTAAATAAGGAACGAGGCCCCTTTTTTCCACAAGTTCAACTTCGATCTCCTATCGAGAACATAAGAAAACCTGAGGCAAGCTGTGACACACTTAAGGAACGCGGAGCCCCTCCCCAACGAAAAGGGTTCCCCCTTCAGGGCCCCGACTGTAGGAGCCAAACCGCGAATCGCGAATAACTTCGCGACCGCGAGGGCGCAACTTTGGACAGCCTGCTCCACATGGACAGGACATGTGATCGGTCTTCATACCAATTCTTTACATACCCATCTCGATCGTACCCGTCAGGCGGAAGTGGGTCGAAACATGAAGTAGGCCAGCGTTGGAAACAGAATGGGCTTCCGCCGGCCCCCTGAAGAGGAGTAGGAAGGGACGACCGCTCGACTCTTGAAGCGGGAGGGCGCCTGAAGTAGATCGGGGTCCGAACATCAAAAACAAAACAAACAACTTTTAACGACCGACAGGTACCGCCTTCCCCCTGCCCCTCCTCCTCCTCCTCCTCCTCCTCCTCCTCCGCCTCCTCCTCCAGCTCTCCTCCTGCTCCCTCCACCTCCCGCCCCATGTCCCGAGCATGTGGCACGACCATGAGCTCGACGTCGTTGTCTTGTCGTCGTTGTCTTGTCATCGTTGTCTTGTCGTCGTGGTCGTCGTGCTTCTGGGTCGGCGGCACCGGCCGCAAACCCTCCACGATACCTGCTGCCAACGGCCCGGACACCCGGCTGCTCCAGTTTCTGCCGACGCGTGGGCCCCAGACATCTGCACCACTTCCCCAGGGCCGGTCTTTCGCCCCGAGTCCTTCTGTGGCGGTCCCGAAAAACCCAGCGAGGACCCCCGGAGGCCGAAACCAGCCCCAAACCGCCCGCTCCATGTTGTCGACTACACGCAAAAGTGACCCTGGGTAAGAGTGACCTTTGGTGCGCGCCTTTTTTGGGGGCCGCGGGGGGACCAAACACAAGCGCGCGACACGCTACTATCGTACCGCGTTCGGCGATCGGGGGACCCCAACGGGCCCGCACCAAAGGTCACTCCGGCGAAGGGTCACTCTTACGTCTAGTCGATGTTTTGGGACTGTCGGATCTCTCCCGGGGCTCTACACATCCTCCGCCCGCGCGTGGGGCCCTCCCCGCCGCCTCCGCGCGGTCGCCGCCGGGGGCGCCCGGCGCGGCCGCCATCTGAGGGCCCCGCGCGCCGCGCGCAGCCGCCCTGGGGCCCCCCCCCCCGCCACTGCGCGACCAGGGCGGCTCTGGGGCGAGGGCGGCGGAGGAGGAGGAGGAGGAGGAGGAGGAGGAGGAGGAGGAGGAGGAGGAGGAGGAGGAGGAGGAGGAGGAGGAGGAGGAGGAGGAGGAGGGAGGAGGAGGGAGGAGGAGGAGGAGGAGGAGGAGGAGGAGGAGGAGGAGGAGGGAGGAGGGAGAAAGGAGGAGAGGGAAAGACGAGGAAGGACGAGGAGGAGGAGGACGAGGAGGACGAGGAGGAAAGGAGAGACGAGGGAGGAAGGACGGAGGAACGAGGGAGGAAGGAGGAGGACAGGAAAGGAAAGGAAAGGGGAGGAGGAAGAGGAGGAAGAGGAGGAGGAGGAGGAGGAGGAGGAGGAGGAGGAGGAGGAGGAGGAGGAGGAGGAGGAGGAGGAGGAGGGAAGAGGAGGAGAAGGAGGAGGAGGAGGAGGAGGAGGAGGAGGAGGAGGGAGGAAGAGGGGGGGATGGAGACGATCTATTGGAGGAGCTCTTGGGGGAGGGTGGGCTTTGAAAGGCACGGCGTCCATAGGCGGGCACGCCTGGACACCCAGCGCTGGAGGGAACTCCTTCAGTGGGGCTCAACTGGGCAGCGGGGAAGGCACCCGACTCAAGCAGATCGAGACTGGAAGCCTGAATGACGATGCCCAAATCTTCAAACGCCGCTGAGGTTGCCGGCAAACATCGGCTGGCAAGGTACTGGCGCGCGGGCAGGGCGGAAATAGGGAGCCCAGAAAGGACATACGCGCCCAGCTATGTACATGAACACGGCCCCTCGGTCCGCGAGACCGGCCGCGTTACACGAACATTTGTGCAATGCGTGCTCTCGAAACCAGCGTGGATTCATGTACATGTACGTCCTTCTTTCGCTCCTGAAAGGCACTGGCGCGCGGGCAGGGCGGAAAGGATGGAGACGATCTTTTGAAGGATTGGGGGGAAATACGGTGGGGAATTCCACATATTATTGTGCATGTTAGAGCAACTACGGTCTTATCTTAAGAACTAACAGACCTCAGGGAATTATGTCAAGCATTTGCCTGGTCAGCTTTCAAACTTTTGTGTTACGGCCGACGTTGCCCTGTCAGCGCAGGGCGGCGTAAAGCCAGCGCACGGGAGCGGGGGGGGGTGAGACGATCCATTGGAGGAGCTGTTGGGGGAGGGTGGAACTTTAGAGGCGCAGCGTCCATGCGCGGGCATGTCTGGACACCCAACGCTGGATGGGGTCTCCTTCACCGGGCCTCAACAGGACAGCGGCGACGGGAGCCTGACTAAAGCAAAAAATGGGAACATCCCACCAGCCCTTGGGGCGACAGGTGGTCTAAGGAAGGTTTCGTTCCTCTTCCACAATCCCTTTCCTTCGGGGAGGGGAACCCTCCCCCTGCCCTCCCTGAGGATTTTTGGGAGGGACTGCGAAGTGTCGGAGGCTCTTGTATCGGCCAATGGGAGGGCCATTTTCCCACCCCTCACGAGGATCGAGGGGGGGGGGGGGGGGGCGAAACGAAATCGAGTACCCCCCTTTTTTTTGACCGACCGCCTCCAAGATGGCCCCTACAGGCCCTCCAGGGCTCCGCGCCGGGTGCACACCAGCAGGAAGCCTGCGCCCTGGCTGCTGGACATATCAAAGGAACGGCCCGCCGCCAGACCATGGCAGCGGGGGGCTGGCCGGGCCAAGCGGGGCTCCGCTGCCCGGACGAAGTGGCCCAGGGAGGGCCGCGGAGGCGTGCAGCGGCGGAGCCACTTGGCCGGCCATCACCGTCGGAGGGAGGCCGTGCAGGTGCGACCGACACCACCACCACCACCGCCATCGCTCGGACGTCCATTCTCTGTGTTTTTGTTTCGGTTTCGTGCGTGGCCTTTTCGCCAAATGATCAAGGATGCTCCTCGATGGTTCTCGCCGAGAAAAAATGCACACGTCCGAGCGATGCCAGGCCACCACCGTCACCACCACAGGGGGGCCCGGCGGGGAGCGGAGGGGGTGCGTCGAGGTGGCCACGCGATGCGTCGCCGCCACGCCTCTCGGGCCGTCGCCCCTTCAGCCAGGGCGGCGTCGCCGCGTCGTCCCGGGGAGCCGCCGTCCTCGCCGTCGCCGCCGAGTCGCCGGGGGCAAAGCCACTGCCGCGCTGCTGGAGCCAGGGTCGCTGCCGGGGCGCCGAAAGCGGCACGGCCGCCGTCGTTTCGTCGGAGGTGGGACCGCCAAGTCGCCTCTCCGCGGCCGCGATCGGTTTCCAGCTGCCGCCTGCTCGTCGCCACCGGGGCCGCCGTCGCGTCGCCCGGGCTGGAATGGTCGCCGCGGCCGCCGCCATCGCCGAAGCCGCCGTGGTCGGGGGAGGGGCCGCCAGCGGCCAGCGGGGGGCAGGGGGTCATCGTCGATGTCGTTTTCGCTGAAATCGCCATCGCCCGGGGCGTCGTCCACCACCGTCGCGTCGCCAAAGACAGCATCGCCGTCGGAGCAGGCGTCGTCGGCATCGTCGCGGGTGCCGCCGTCGCCCCACGTCGCGCCCGAGCCGCCGCTGGGGTCGCCGGGGCCGCCGCCAGGAGGGCCGCCGCCAGGGCCGCCGGGGCCCCCCCCACGCCCCCACCACCGCCACAGCAGCGGCGGCGGTCTGCCCCCCCCCGCGGCGCTGGCGCAGTACGCCTCGGACGGGGGAGGGAAGGCTCGGAGGATCTCGAGGCGGACAGGGCGGCAGGCAGCGACCTGCAGCCGCGCCCGGCGCCCGACCGAGGGCCCCGCCGTCAGCGTGATCCAGCCGAATTCGGCCGTAACTTTAGGCTGAACCAACCACCAACCTTTTGGCCCGAACCTTAACTAGGCTGAGCCTTCCAGGGCTCCTCAGAGGCCCCCAAGAGGGTTCCACTGGCGCCCCAAAAAGCCCCAAGAGGGCTCCAAAAGGCCCCCGAGAAGCCTCCAAGAGGCCCCCGAATGGCCCCCAAGCGGCCTCAGAGAGCCCATGATGACATCCAAGATGGCTCAAGATAGTCCAAGCTGGCTCAAGATGGTCCCAAGATGCCCCAAGACACTTCCAAGAGGGCTCGAGATGACCACGGAGCCTACCCAGGATGTCGCCGAGATGCCCAACTTCTTCAAAAACGTACCGAACATGAATGAATCCCACCAGCCCTTTGGGCGACAGGTGGTCGTGGTCTAAGGAGGGTCTCTTTCCTCTTCCACAACCCCTCTTCCCTTCGGAAAAGGGATCCCTCCCCCTCCCTTCCACGAGGTTTTTGTTGAGAGGGCCGCGAGGTGTCAAAGGGTCCTTTTTCGGCCCCTGGGAGGGCCAATTTTTGTCACCCTCCACGAGGATCGTGGCCCCCGAGGGAGGGGGGGGAGCGAACATCGAGTACCCCCCCTCTTTTGACCTGCCGCCTCCAACATGGCCCCAAGAGGCCCTGCAGGGCTCCTAAGAGGCTCCCAAGATGGCCCAAAGAGCGCCCCAAGCGGCCTCCAAGAAGCACCCGAAAGGTCTCCAAGAGGCCCCGAGCGGCCTCAGAGAGCCCAAGATGACCTCCAAAATGGCTCAGATGGCCCAAGCTGGCTCAAGCTGGTCTCCAATGTGCTCCAAGCGGACCCGAGCCGGCACCGTCTCGAGTCCTCCGCCGATGGAGCACACTCCGGTGGCGACCGAGGCACACCAAGCCAGCCTGGGGGGATGGCCAGCCTGAGCCTGCCACGTGCGCAACTCCCGGCGGGGGACCAGAAGCTCGATGGGGGGACCAGCTCAGGCCCGCCGGGAGGGCAGCCTCCGTGCGATGGGGGGGTATAGCATCGTCTGAAGCCTGCAGCACACTGAAACTTATTGGTGACTGGCCTGGGAGCGGCGAGCCGAGGGGGCATCCAAATGCCGCTATGTGCCAAGAGCGAACGGGGGGGCTCACGGTTGCACCGCATGAGAATGCCAGGTGTTCTGGTAGGGTGCAGCTAACAGCCGCAGAAATGTGGGAAAGAGGCTGTCGCCTGAGACAGACTGGGGTCAGACACCGATAGCTGTCCACGACCAAAAGCGGGGGGAGTGGGGATCACCCCTCCTTTTTCCAATTGCGAAGCGATGCGAAGCGTCAAGAATTGCTGGAATACTGAATGACAACGCCCAAATCTCCGAACGCCGCTGCGGCTGCCAGCAAGCATCGGCCGGCAAGCGGCAAGGCACTGGCGCGCGGGAAGGGCGGGAAGGATGGAGACGATATGTTGGAGAAGCTGTTGTGGTGAAGGGTGCGCCTTGAGAGGCATGGAGTCCATAGGCGGGCACGTCCGGCACCTTGGACGTCTCACGCTGGATGAGTCTCCTTCAGTGGGCCTCAACAGGACAGCGGGGTGGGCGCTTGACTAATGAGTGGCGCCGCCCAGATATCCGAACGCCGCTAAGGCTGCCCGCAAGCACCAGCTGGCAAGGCGCTGGCGCGCGGGAGGGGGGAGGATGGATACGATTCGATGTATTTCCACCAGCCCTCTGGGCGTAGGTGGTCTGGGGCGTTTCCTCTTCCAACCCCCTTCTTCCCATTCGTGGAGGGGCTTACCCCTCCCCCGTGCCCCCTCCCCTGGACATGGACGGGGCGCCCCGCGAGGCGTTGGAGCCCAAGACGGCTCCAAGAGCGCCTCGGAGAGCCCAAGATGATCTCCAGCATGGCTCAAGATAGCCAAAGATGCCTCAAGATGGCCCCCAAGATGCTCCAAGAGGCCCCAAGAATGCTCCAAGACAGCTCCAAGTGGCCAAACGAGCTCCCCAAGGAGGCCCCGAAGATGCCCAAATCCTTCAAGAGTCAGTCAAAGCCGTGTGTCAGAAGGCACATGAGCAATATGGCACACTTACCGTGCCAAGCAAAATGACCGCACTGCGCGCTTCCAGTCTCGAACTGGGATTGCGCATAAGTGTTCGATTGGAACTTGAAGACTGCCACAAACATCTCTTGCAAGTTTGTACACCTCGGCAGGCCACGTCTGTCGCGGTCGGCCTCTCTTCCGCTTGCCGGAGGGGGGGCGGAGGTCGAGGGAGGAAGGTCTAAAAATAGCTGAACGTAAGG